ACCATAAAATTAAATTCGACAGCAATATCTCAAAATAATTTAAAAAGAGCATATGTTTAGAATTTCTGATACACAGCCTCACGTGCTGGAGATAAAAATGTTTTTTCCTCGCACAGTGCTGTCATTACACGCTTTGAAATTGAGTTTCTTAATCAAAAACTCAAAAATGCTATAAAAAATGAGAAATAGATAACAAAACCAATTCCTAATTCGTGCTTCCAGATGCCCATATTCGGGTGAAGAATTACGTTATTCAAAATGTGATGAGTGTTGTTATTGTCGTTTTATCACAATGAGAGAAACATACATAAATATATGCAGATTCTTCATCATTTAACTGCTTTAATACAGGGCGATAATATTTTGTTGCAACAATTTGAAAAGTCAAATCGCCGTTTATAGTGAAACGCCACAAAATGCCAAAACGAAATTAATAGCCCTAATGCGCTAACGGTCTTTGGGTTAAAAATACGTACTATAAAATTTCAGCACAAACATTCGATTTTGTTTCGGATGCAGCCGGTTGTGGACATAGATTTGAAATTTTGCTGACAGATCTTTTATAGGCTATGAGAAACCTATTTGTTTGTAACAGTGTTGCCACAAAATAACACTTAATACAAAGCACTGTTCAGACTTTTCGAATGATTAACTTATACCGCATTCAACAAGTACTTTTGTAACACAGAAGATAAAAGATCTTGTTTGTCGTTGACTGGCAACGATCTCTGTTTATACCTGACGGGATTTTATCGAAATTAAAAAATAACAAGGATCAGCATGCCAGCTATAAAAAACTCATAACACTGCATAAATAATGGTAAGTTTCCAATTTTAGAATCCTTTTGTCAAAAATTAATCAGTAGTCGGTGGTAGGCCCTTGATAGATTTCTTCAAAGACTAGCAGAAATTCACAACGGACGTATTGCAAAACTCTTGTATAATTTAGGAATTTGTTTTCCATTCTTGGTATTTATAATACTCGCTGGCATTCTTCTAACAAAAAGCAAATTTGAATGATATGATCGCGAATTAATACAGATGTAAAAAGTGATTGTCTGACTAAAAATTTCCTTTTTTTTTTTTTTTTTTTTTTTTTTTTTCATGAAAAATACTGAGATGACTATAAAATGCAGTTCATTTCCAAACAATAAAACAACTGACAGAAATGAAAAGTTATGCTTAAAAAAATCGAGAAGATTGCTTTTAGATGAGACTCACTAATTCAATTGTACTTTTATTCACCGTTTCTTTTCAATCGAGTTTCGATTAAGGTTGCTTAAACGCAGTATCATTGTAAATATATTTAAGTATTTACATAGAAAGTAATCATCTTAAGATCCTTTGAGATAGAAACTAACGTTAATGAATTTAGAAGATAAATCTGAAGATGATAATGAGTATCATAAGTACAGAGACAAGTTAAAAGAGGGAAAGGAAAATCAAATCACGTTAGAAGTGGCAAGCTTGGAAAATCTCAAATCATGTTAAAGTGCAATAATTATGTGAATAATAAATATCTTACGCGGATGAATAGTTTAAGTATTTTTATCTGATATATTAAAATTCATTTTTGAAGTTAGAATTCAGCTTTAGTTTTACGTTGATTTCAAATAAGAAGGCTTAGTTTACTTTGAGAAACAAATTGACTACCCATTTCTTTCGATAACATACAGCTTGCTTCTGAAGAAAAGAGAACTAGGCATCTCCAATGAACTAGGCACTTGTCGTTTGAATTCATTTCCAGAGAGGAATTTTATGACTAAGCGAGGATGACAAATATATGACATGACAAATAAAGCGAGGCTATGTTGAATAAGTGTACTTCGATGCTTAAGTAATTAATAAATTGTATATTTAACGGAATGGCTAATCTCAAGGGTGATGCAATGGTTGGAAATTTAGAGGCTTTCCCAGGTTCTCTTATTTCGACAAGAAGATTCTTCAACTAACACTGCTACTGCCACCTTTATGCTCTCAAACCATTAGCGACAAGTGCTGGCTGGCATGGCATAAAAATAAACGGAATGCGTTGAAAATTTCTTTAGTGCGCATGCGTATTACTTGGTATTTGCAGTAAGTATGCCTTATTCAAACAGAAGTCATTCTTTACAAACTAGCCCGTTTTCCGCTTGATTTGTCAGCGCTTAACTCGAAACTAAATGCATCAATCTAGTTAATGATTGGCGTTGACGTTCTGCGACTAAATCGCCCCCAGGAGATCATTTGCCTACGCGCTCATTGGTCCATACAGGTAAAGGGGGGAGTGGTCCTTGATTAATAGCGAGCCTTCGGTAATTGGCCAGCACGCTTCATTACTCCAGTTAATTAATTGTTAATTGCGTAGACGCTGAGATAATTGCGGCCATTCCAACGTCGACGGGCTTTTAATTTCGCTGTATTATGCCTCTCCACTGCATCTCGACTCAGGAATGAAGCTTTTTTCTAGAAAGCAAGGGGAGGGTCTTACGAAGAGGGGAAAGAAACGGAGAAGGATAAAACTAACAAAAAAGAAAGAAGAAAGATATAATTGCAGCATTTCATTGCTGGGCTCAGTTCTTCACATAGGAAATCCTTAATCTCCCAGGTTTTAATTAGTATATCAACAATATTTTCTTTTCGCCCCCAGCCAACAAAAGTATTGGAGAGCAGCAAGCTGTTACAATGACTTAATTATTTGGTCCAACCAAGCACACTCTGACACTTCAGGCTGGCTCTGTTTTGACAAGCGTGCTGGATTCGAATTAGAAGATGCTAACGTTGAAGGTTAATTACCACGCATCGGATGCAAAATTTTATAGACTTTGCCTTCGAGAGCGATTCATGGACCATTGAAGAATCAAAAGGTTATTATTTCTGGAGCGCTCGTTTAGGAAAGAGTCTTGTTGAGTCTCTCTGTGGTTCGTTCTCAGCGAGATTTGTAGTTTTCAGTATTTTGAGTTGTTTTGACTTTTCTAGTTCTCCATTCTCTGTATGAAGTTAGCCTCTTGTTTATTTTTCTGTTGAAGGCGCAAGAAATATTTTTAAATCTGGATTTTTATGCGCAGAATTTTAGAACATTAATATCTGTGTAGAATAAATTAAAAATGCAAGAAAACAGAATAAATTATATAACTGACAGATGTAAGTGTAACATTTTACTTAAAATCCGAAAATTCCTTCACCCTGAATCTTTTAGGGAAACAAAGAAAGATATATACAATTTAGAATGTAGTGCAAATTACTACCTAAAATGTTAAATAGTCTTGATAGTTGCTAAAAAGTGGGAGATATATTTATTTCCGATTCCTTAACCAGTAAATTTTAATACAGTTCTTGATTGAAAACAGAGAATTGTTAAGACATAAACTTTGTCTATACTTTCATTAAAGTTTAGTATTTTATGGATCTGTTCATAACATTATTAATATTTCTATTTATTTTGCTACTATAATATTGTAAATAAACAGACAGGGCACAGAAAACAATAGGTATTTACATAATTATTACAGGAAAAGGGTAAAAATTGAATATATTGAATATAAATATTTCTACTCTTCAAAATTGAAATTGAAAAGTCGATTAACTCCCAAGTAAATTGTGAGTTTAAAATAATGAAAGCGACATATTCCAAGTATACATTATGAATCGCATATTAAGCAAAAATATATGCAATTTAATTACTCCATGAGAAAAAACAAGAAATCCATGCATAATATAAAGAAAATATTGTCATGAAAAACCAAAATGTTAAAAGTCATAATAATTACAGAATAGGAGAAACGATATGACTGATTGATTGCATCTTCATCTCGAGATATTTCCTCAAATCAATCGAACAGAAGCTTGGCTTCTGAAAATCCTGAGTGAAAATATGCTGCAAAAAATTTCGAAGTTTACAACAGTTTACAGTTAAAAATTTTACAGCAGTTTATTATTTCCTTTCTAAGTATATCGCAATCTAAATTATAAATTCTTTGCATGAGAATTTTAAATAAACTGATGTTAAGAAAACTGACACTGCGTACGAAAAATGAACAACGTATAGTTAACAATATATCAAAATATATAAAAATTAATTAACAAACACAGAAAAAAGATGAAATAAAAATAATTGCACAGAAAACAAAGAAAGAGTATCATTTAGTACTATAACGGCCATTCTGCATCGGAGTTAAAAAGAACATGTGTTATAATATATCAATATAAGTAATCTTACTAATAAATAAACAGAAATTCAATGTATTTAATTTGATCGTGCTTTCTCATTGACAGCAAAACAATCAAATGATCTGATTGGGAAGTGATAATGGTCCCTAAATAGCTCATTTAATAAAGCTTTGTAAGATTCTAGCTAAATTAAAGTTACTTTGTTAATTAGATCTTTACTTAAACTGTGAAGCGACTATCAAAATCTTGATAGTCGCTTGTGAAGCGACTATTGGCTAAGTTCAAACTATATTAATAACAAGGCTTTACGAAGGAAAAAAAAAAGACCCATTTGTTCACTCAAGAAATTATTTACAGTCGGCACTCCTGATGCTAACAAAACTAAGCCAATACTTTTGGCTGTAACTCAAACTAACTAAAAACTAAGCCTAAATTAAATAATCAGTCGAAGTTGCACAGAGATGATAAACATGAGCTGGCTCTTAGCTCTACCACCTACGTATACAAACCGGTAATTAATATGCACGGCTGCAAAATAGCAAGCTCTAATATCAACGAAACAGCCTGGCCGAAAAGCAGAACATGCTTTGTCTACCTTTCGTCCAGGCCAAGTCAGCTTAAAGAGCATCTTTCTACCCTACTTTGCATCAAGCGTGAAACTGATCTGGGAAGAAAGCGTGGAGTGAAAATAAGGGCGATAGGAAAGGTTGCTTTAAAACAAAATTAACTGTTAAGTAAATGAAATAAATCCACAAGGCTTTAAAAAATTTTTATTTCTTTTTCAAAACACCAACATGCGCATATTGTATACATCTGACACTCGGTGTTTTTCTTCTTATTGAATTTGATAGGTACTAGATATAACGAAACCTGGACATCGAAAAAGGATACTAACCTCGTTGGGTGAGAAGCCTTCAAGCAAGTTTTTTGAAGAATTAAAAGATTTCAGCCTGTCAAAAATGGTAAGTACGATGCTTTTGCTTGAAAAACTATCATGTTTACCTTCCTCAGGCAAACATTTGCAGATGGCTTTAAAATTTAAAAGCAATAAGAGTATAAAAATTGAAAAATTAATGTCATTAAAAAATCATCTTTTAACAGGACTGGAATTTAAGTAATGTGAGTGCGTTGTCAACGGCTGACGAACCTTCGTCATCTGGTGACGAATCTCGAACTATAGACATTATGAGAGGAGATACAAGTGTTCGGAATATCTCGGCCAATGGGAGTCTCTCTAGAACAGAATCCCCACCGTCTGTATCTAGTATGAAGATAAGACCTCCAACTCAGCTGATGGGGGACACTTCGCCGCAACAAATTCTTCAGGAGTTGCCTTCTTTCAACTCAACGCAGTGGAAACACCAGCCAGAAGTACTGGTGAAAGGCAGCTGTAACTACACCGCAAAGGTAGAGTCACAAAATAATACAAATATGTATGAATTTTTTATTTTGTATATATGTGCGTACTTTGCGTTTGTTGGACTGGAGAAAACTTCATCTCTGTTACTGCTTTTTCCGGAATACTCTAACAAGGTGGAAATGCTGGATTTTAGTAACTTGATGAATTAAATTTTAGTTGTGATTTTGCAATATTCCGCGAAATTTACCACAAAACTTTTAGAATTGTATAAGGCCTAGATATAGCTTTCGTCTAGGAGCTTTCAACAATCATTTTTTTTTTTAAAGAGACAAAAGAAAGTAATGAAGAAGTAGCATCCATCTAAAATATCAGGTCCTAGGCTCAGGATTTGCAAGCCTAAAAGGTAATCAGACTCTGTTGATGGTTACTATTATTTTGCGTTAAAGAGTCACTAGAAATGTGTGTTTATGTAAGTTAGAGTTTTTTACTGTAAGGCAGAGCTAAAGTTTTTTACTGTAAGCTAAAGTTTTTTACTGTAAGACAGAGCGTGTTTCTGCCTGTCGTGGCCACTTACTTTAGTTCTGCCATTCCTGTTAAGGTTGTAATCATTCGACTTCACGTTATTTGCTGCCAACATTTAAATTGTTACGCTGGTTAGAATTTTGAGCCAAATTCAATTTTAATTTATGATTACTAGCCTACATTTTAATTTGAATTTGACATTTACTTCAGTTTCATCGCTACAAGTGGTGATTGTTTTGTTAACCACATGATGTACTCTTATGTTCAAGTTCTGTTTTAATAAAAAGGTTGTTTTAAGCCTTTTCAAGTCTCTGTAGTTACATCAGACACAGGGCTAAGTTTTTCGTACGTCTGCGAAGAATTTGGAAATAATTTGTTCTCCAACCGAAGTCCAAACTATACAGGGTGTACCGTAAATGTTGAGACAAACTTCTAGGGAAGGTAGGGCATATCATATGGATTCAGAACTGCATAGGAACCTATACCCGGAAATGTCAGGGGTAATTGGTAGCAGAGGTAGAAGATTGGAAAAGAAGCAAGAGTGATTAATTTGAAACATTTATTGGACAGGAATACAAATGGTGTACGACAGCTTTGAATGTTGCAACAGATGCTCGAAGTTTGCACCGTCAGACACCCAACATGCCTGACGCCGACGGACTATTTGAATGCCATGAATTATTTGATCTTTCTAGAGCAAGTTCTTCTCGATTTGCTTGATGATGTTCCACCAAATGTGAGGCGAAACATGTGATTCCCCTGCTCATTTTGGACTGGATGCTCGTAGCCATTTGAACCCGCATCGATGGATTGGGCGTAGCGGACCAGTTCCCTGACCCCCACGCTCTCCGGTTTTATCAAGCCTTGATTTCTTTTTGTGGGAAACCATCAAAAGTGTCTTGTATCACGATCCTATTGTATCTGAAATGGATCTCGTGGCAAGACTCGCCTGAGCAGCTGCTACAATCGAAGAAACTCCCGGTGTGTTTGAAAATGTTCGGCAATAAATGATTCGTCGGTGTCAGACATGTTTGGCGTTTGATGGTGCAAACTTTGAGCACCTGTTGTAACATTTAAGCTGTCGTACAGCATTCGTATTCATGTCCAATAAATGTTTCCAATTAAATCCCTCTTATTTTTTTTCCCATCTTCCACCTCTGCTATCACTCTCACCTGAGATTTCTGGGCATGGGTTCCTATGCAATTCTTAATCCTTGTGATATGCTCTACCTCCCCTAGAAGTTTACCGCAACATTTACGTTACACTCTGTATAAAGTTTTTAAATGTTAGCCGACATCTCATTTTAGGTATGGAAATAGCTGGATTAGCCCTCTCTCTGCAATTGCTTTCTGTAAGCATATTGCTTAATCATGGTTATTTAAGCATATTACATGCATATTTTAAGCATATTGCATGCATATTTTAAGGATATTACATGCATATTTTAAGCATTTTGCATATATATGCATATTATATAAGCATATTCCTTTTGTATGATTGCGAGAAGAAGATTATCACTCCATGAATTAGTCAGTTGATTCTTAACAGTGAATTCAAAGCGCCCTGAATTTTAACCATGGATCTGTGTAATTTATTTCTAGCAATTGTTTTTCGATTCTTTCGGAGTCAGCACACTCCATATTCATTGTAAAATTGTTTCTCGAAGAATGGCAAGAATTTATATTATTAAGTCACACAAAAGCTTCTTAAAAATAAAACAATATGTTATTTCCTTCATTAAAATATTGCTTTAATAATAAAATATTAAAATATTAAGACAGCTAGCACTAAAGCAGATATTCTTTCAAAATGTAATCCTCATTCTTTCTCTGCATGGTATAGTATGCTATGTACACTTTTCATTACTCGTGTAGTATAATTATACTTTAATTTTTTTTTCAGTATTTAGGCTCAACTTTGGTGAAGGAAGTCCGTGGCCTTGAATCAACCAGGAAGTCTATACAGAAACTCAAAAGCTCTACGCGAGACATGAACAAAATACCCAACGTTATTTTATCCATATCTCATACAGGTGTCAAATTCATCGACGCACAAGCAAAGGTAAGACTGTGGTCCTTATACTTAAGCATAATACTACTTAGTTATTTAATATTTTACTAGAAATACACTATTTAATTTAATAAAATAATAGATGGCTTCTTCCACCAACACTGCAATTAAATGGGGTATATTTTGTTCTGAGCAGAAAAAAGGACTGATAGGAGCATTAGGTCAGATTGCAAAATTTTAACTTTTACGTCAAAAAGCCATGTTGACAGAATTACTTTTCGAAACCTCGCACTTAATTACATTAGGAAGTTAGCAGTTACTAGTTCAGCCAATAGAGTGAAAGATTCTTCTTTCAACTCCTGGCAAGTCTGTGTAGGTTTTATAAGCAACGCAACATGACAAAAATTAACTGAGACTTGCCATTTTTTAAAAGCATCCGTTACTTCGTACGTAAAGGTAAAAGATTTCATTGACGTACTTTACTATATGTTCAGAGATAAAAATTATTTTGATTAAATGCGAAATTTGTTAAATGATTGAGTTAAAGATATTGCATAGTTCATGAAAAAGTTTTCTTAAGATGGCCATGATCTATAATAACTCACAGTATTAATTTCATTAATTAACAGTAATGAATTTTAGAAGTGTGTATATTCGGAATCATTAGTAGAAAAAGTAATACAATGTGTTTTTGTGATATACTCGATATTTTTCTAGTTCTGTTGTTATTATTGCAATAATATGTATTAATATAAGCAATACTGAAAACAGGATTCTTCGCCTACACAGTATATGTATCCTATTCAGATAACAGGTTAAAAATTTAGAAAACTGACTTCAGTAAGAATCTCAGAATAATTCTGCAAGTAGCAGTCGGGTGCTTTAAAGAGTTCTCTTCAAAACTCTTAGAAAATTTAATATTGGGTATTTTGAGATCTTGGGAGATTTTAAATCAGAAAAACATCTTTAAAACAGAAATCTTCAGATAAAATATTCTGAAAAACTTAGAAAACTACTTCTAAAATTACTTTTATAATTTTGCTTTCGTAATGTTACTTTTTAAAAATGTGAGTGATGATTATTTTTCTTTTCTTTTTTTTATTATGCTCTTCAGAAATTGGTGTGCGAACATGAGATCAGGAACATCCATTGCGCATGCCAGGATGCAGATGATCTCAACCATTTTGCTTACATCACTAAAGATCACCAAACCACGAATCACTACTGTCATGTGTTCTGCGCCCAAAACATGGTAAGTTAGTTGAAACTATTTTAAATACCCAATGAATATTTAAAAAAAATTACAGCTTTCAGATTCATACATGATGCCACAAATAAGTTTTATTTTAATCATTTTAGTCCAGCACATATGAAATAAACTGTTTTAGATGCTAGTGCATGGAGTCAACAGCAAATGGACAGCTCCAAACCAAATTTAAAATAAGTTTATTCAATAAAGTATGCTTAAAATCAGTCGGCCACACTACAGGAGAAGTCTGAGGTAATTAGTTTAAAAAGAGGTTTTAAGGACATTAATGGATAATTTTTGTTGACCTAGAAATTATAACTTTTTTCTGAATAAAGGGGACCATATAGTTATGCTTAATGTGTTTGGAAGAAAATAACTAAAACTGGACAGAATGAGAAAAGAAGATTTCTGAGTAAGGTCACTCACAATTTATAAAAACTCACAGGATTTAGAACTATAGTATTGATAAAACTGTCACTATTATATGAAATCATTTGTATTCGCTTGCTGTCATGACCTAAGTAATTAGCATATGCAACTACTAATTATTTCTGTGGTTCGAATCTCGACGAGTGCATGGGCAATTGTTTACTTTTTTTTTTTTTTCTGTTAGTGAAAGCTAATAGTTTTTACACTATTAATTGTTACAGACAAAAGAGTTTATGAAGAGTTTGAATACGGGAAATTCGTGCTTTAGTTATTTATCAAGTCAGTTTCCCAAGCTGATCACAGAATTGATAAACAAGATTTCTAAGTGGTCTCGACGTAAGACAGCTTAGAAGAGTTTTTATATCTCATTAAATTCAAGGAACGTGATTAAGGATTGGCCACAATCTACGTCTATTTTAACTGCCAAAAATTTTCTTGCAAAGCGCGAATTCATAAATGAGAGAAATACTCTTAGTTACTGGAAAAAAAAGTGTTTAATCTCAATAAACTGTACTAATATGAGTACGTAACCTAAACAATCTCTTTTGGAAGGAAATTATTGGTTTAAATTAAGGATAAGAAAGAGATTTCACCAAAACATAAAAATTCTAAAACAGATATCAAATAAGGGGGATATCCTCATGGCGGCAAATCATTTAAAGCCAAAGGAGACTAAAGCAGGAATGTCTTTCAAACCTCATTCTAAAGTGTTATTTGGTATATAAAAGGAATGTTTCATGTGCTAAACAAGCGACTAATTTTATGAAATTTAAAGCAGTATTAAATTTCTTAACATTTAAATACAATTAAGTATATCATATGAATTATGCAATTAATTAACATATTTTAAGCATGATTATGTTAATGTGCTGCATTTATTTGGTGCCGAAAATGTTATAACAGAATTACGCGTCGTTCAGAACACTGGATGTAAGGGGTGAATAACAAAGGATTTTTACAAGGTCTGTCCTTAAACCTAACAAGATAGATGGACAATGTATGTCAACCTATGATATATTTAAAAACAAAATGAGAGAGCAGTTAACTTTTCATGGTAATTCTGCGTCATAGCTGTCAAGCCCACTTGACATTATATCTATCAGCAAGCATTTGTCTAAAAGTCGATACGTTGCTATATAGTAGATAGTGGTTGCGACTTGAATCTCACGCTCGGATAGACTCGACTGTTTTTCGTATCTTCGACAATGAATACGTCCATTTGAGCAATTCCATACTTTCAAGCATTGGTCTCCAAGTAGGGTTCGCGTACTCCAGGACGTAAGCAAAGTGATATTTGGGGCTACGTCAAAGAAATAAGATCACGATCACTTGCGAGAGTATGATTGTGTATATTATATTATAATATATTATGCTGTTGAGTGCGTACAGGTTCGTAATGGATTGAATGCACACAGGTCCGAGAATTTATTTTATCAAAAGAAACACTTCAAATTTCTGAAACTTTCTATAAAAACAGTCGCACAGCTTTTCACAGTATCAAGGAATACAATCAGTAGTTATACTTCAAACTACTAAGAACGTTAAGCACAACACAATGCAAAGCGTATCTAAAAAGCGAATCTAACCCGGAGATACCTCAGTACTTCGAACTCCCGCTAAACCAACAACGAACAGCTGAGAGCAGATGCTTTCGCTGGCCTTCTATAGTTTTCATCTAGCCGCCGAGAATGAGCCGTCTAACACTTTTCGAAATTATTGGAAGGCATATGAGGGTCGGGTACGGTTACAGTTGCATATGAAATCAAACACAGTTATTGAATTACAATACCTATTACGGTGATACAACGACTGAACCAAAATGTTGTCAAATGGCCGCCGTGTTTGGCAACTTTTGGAGATTTCTCGCCCTGCTCCTGTGTTCTTATTTTTCCGGCAGAGTATTGTCTCTTTAGATTTTCATGTTACATTATACAGAAAAATACAACAACTTTAAGTATAATTTCATTAAAAATACCCGTATATCTACAAAAATTCGTAACAATATTATATTATATTACATAACCAGAAAAAGGGAAGTTACTACTGAAGGAGAGAACGTTCTCTTGTCATCGTGGGATCCTGTTATTATATGTTTTTCGCACCTTTGGTTCATATGAGCAGTAATTACGATTCGTATTTGTTTGAGCTTTGGAAACCAAGCATGTTCAACAGTTTATCCCATAGTTTATGTATTTTATGTGAACAGTGCATATTCCATTGCTTATTATAGAAAATAAGATCATTAAAAATGATGGAACTATATTTTTTACCTGAAGTATACTTTTTGTAGTATAGAAAAAATTATCAATAAGTTTTCATATTATTTGAGTGGGATATGTCCAGATCATGATTGATTTAACATTTGTCGGTAGTGTAATCGTAACGTTTACCGGTACTGTAACGTGACATTTGTCAGTATAATAAGAATATTTTTCGTCTTTTTTTAAAATAAATTTCATGTTTCTCCAGGCCAGTATGTATAATAATGTATATAAATTTTAGGACAAAAGTCAAAAAGATATGTCATACCTATTCATTATAGTATAGTTTGTAGAGACATTAGGTAATTTTGAAACGGAAGAGATGAAAAATGAGCAATGCCTTCACCGGAAATCGAACCACGGATCTCTGACATGCAGACCACTACACTACGAAGGCACGCTAAGAAAACGGGAGAAATACCTTATATACTCCTCCTTTTAAAAAGCGACTGGGGTTTAGGGGATCCAATCGCCAAATCATGGGTGTGGAGAATCATCATACACCACCTTTTTTAGTTCGGGTGCCAATGTAGAGACATTAGGAATTTTTATGGAAGCAGGAGACTTAAAAAATGAGCAACGCCTTCGCCGGGATTCGAACCACGGACTGGAATACGCGCTCACCGTGCAGACCACTACACCACGAAGGCACGCTAAGAAGGCGGGAGAAATACCTTATAAGTTATTATAATTAATTAAATAACTATAGTAATCATTTATTATTGTAAAATAATTTTTTAAAATTTCAGTGCATAATAATTAATGTACATACATTTCAGCTCAATAAACTTATATACAATAATTAGTAATTATATATAATCATCAATTATATCATCATATTAATTATAATCATTTATAATAATGTTATTAAAATTCATTATACTAATAATATAATGAAAATTATACAATAAAGTAAACAATTAAGTATTAGCAAAAAAAAAAATTATACAATAAAATAATTTACTATAATTTATCATTAAATTATGTATATATAGGAAAATTAAGTTTTGAAAACACTGATATTTTTACAATACACAAATAAAGAAATAAATGCACAAAATTAAACACAATAAAGTAAAACAGTTAATTGTAATGGAGGATCATATTGCAGCTTAGATTACTTAAAAGTAGTAATTGTGTGCTCTTTGAACGCGGCAAAAATAAAAATTGAAAATATACAAACGGAAAAATTCCGTGATGATTCCTGCCCATCTTTCTTATTTTATGGCGGTATCGGTCCGAGTGGTGCATACGTGTTTGCTCTCTTGGCTGCGGTACTGTACAGCTATTACCAAAGCCATGAAGAACGTGCATAAACATGTACATTCTTTGGCCTCAGGTATAACCAGGACAACAATCACAAAGACAATTCGCAACTCTATCTCCTACTGGGGATTAAATACAGTTCTTCCTTTCAGCACAATTCTTTTTCACCACAATGCAGACGTAATGGGAAATGCAAATTTCCCAATAATTTATTTTAATTGAATGATAATAATCCATAAAACTTTGATAGATGTTAGTATAAGAGTGTATTTATATTAACATGATATATATGACTTGAACATATATACGTTATGTACGTCATATGTTAATATTTGGCTGCATTTATATTTATATATATGCATATTTATATTATTCAGTAAAAATTAAATTAAATTAAAAAAGGAAGAGAAAGAGAGAGAGAACAAAGCTCTGAATCTTCCGTTTTAGTGGATTGATCTACAAAATTCAACTTGTATTTTTCATGTCAGAAAAACACGGCTTATAAATATGTACCGTTTTCTTTGCTTATTCATCCCCTTTTTTTATTAATTTTATCGTCCGAAAATCGAGAGGGGCAAAAACATGAATATTTTAATATCCGAATGAAGCATTAAAAACGTGGCAAATGAAAAGTAGTCTTGGATAAACTACCGATAACTATTAATTTTTTAAAAGAAACCTACATTTCAATAAGAATATAGTATAGTAATAATAAAACTACAGTATATACTAAGGTATCTTCATTTCAGTTTCCCTGTCTCTGTCTCGTTTTTATTCTTGTCTCTGCTACTTCTTAGTGCTCAAATCATCTGTAAATAATTTAAGAAGATGAATGTACAGCTAAATCAGCGAAATCGAAGACTGAATGACAGTTCGGTTCTTGTATTAAGTTGGCATAAAGTTCAACCTTTCGAAGAGAAAGGTTTCGTATGACTTTAGAGGGTAGTTTGCGAAGGTAGTTTTTGTTAGTAAAATGAAAACAATCACTACGTAGACGAATCCATTTAAAAATTTAGGGAGCTAGCTCTCTGAGCTGATTGCAAAACA